TGGGTCCTGTCATTTCTGGCTTTCTCGAATTGAAGAAGGATTGGAGGTGGAATTTCTACGTCATCTTATGGCTTGCTGGTATCACCGAACTTTTGATGTTTACCATACCAGAGACTTTACCTTCGAAAATATTAGTAAATAAAGCTAGGAGAATAAGGGCATTGAACATTCCAGGTTATGAAAACGTCAAGGCTCCTGTCGAAGATAGCGATCGCACATTGTGGCAGCTTTTCAAGGTCGCACTCATCAGACCATGGCAACTACTCGTCGACCCAATCTCGTTTGCCGTTGCGGTTTACTTATCTGTCGTGTATGCTCTACTGTATATGTTGTTCACCATCTATCCCATCATTTTCCAAGAGAAGCGTGGTTGGAATTCTGGAGTGGGAGAACTACCATTGATTGGTACAATAATCGGAGCCTTCATAGGAGGTGTCGCCATCTTTATGGTGTCTTCTCGGGATAGAAAGAAGTTGGAAGCTGGTCATATCGGAGTAGCAGAGGATCGTTTACCAGTCGCAATGGCCGGTGGAATCATTTTTCCAATCACCATGTTTTGGTTCGCGTGGTCTGGAAATTATAATGAAGTGCACTGGATTGTTCCCACTCTTGGAGGGGTATTTCTCTCCACTTCAATTCTCCTCATTTTTGTCGCCTATCTCAACTACCTGACTGATACATACCTGATGTATGCCGCGAGTGCCGTTGCTGCAAATACTGTTTGTAGATCGGCAGCTGGTGCCGCAGCTCCATTATTTACATCATATATGTTCGATGCTCTCGGCGTCGGTGGTGGTGGCTCACTAATCGGTGGAATTGCCGTTCTTCTCGCTCCGATTCCCTTTTTGTTCTATAAATATGGTGGAGCTATCCGAGAACGATCTAAATTCGCACCCACGCCTACGAAGAAACCTTCCATTGGAGAAGATGTCGGCAATGAAAAAAATGGCGAGACTGCTCAACCTTCACTAGACAGAACGACTCAAGATAGGACCAGTATCAGCTCTGAGTCATCATCAAGTATAGCAAGCATGCCGACTTCCCCACGTGAAGATACTTATCATCAAGAAGGATATATCGAGGAGGGAATGGGATATGGACGTGTAGCACTCCCTAGTGATACGAGAGCACATGATGCTGGACAACTTGCAAGCGAGAAGTAAGAAGTTGGGCTACAGAGTAAATTGTGCATCGTGTAATTATTAGAAATGTTTTGTATGATCGTACTTAGCGCGGAGCAAACGTGGAATGTCAGGCATGGCGATGGCGTTTTAACATGAAGATGATGGCGAATCTAAACTTGGCGATGAATAGATGAATATATGATTTTCTTTGACTCATATTTAAATTCACTGTGTTGAAGTCAATTCGAGGAGCATTCTTGCAGGAAACAAGAGGAACAGATGTTGCTTAGATTGTCGTGTCAGCGGGGCAATCAGCATGCGAGTTATGAATCCTTCTACACCCGGCCTCATTACTCGCCATAAACCTCGCTCCTACCCATATCCTACCAGTAGAGATTTTAGATTGCGTATCCGAATCAACACGGTAATACCAACTCAATCATAAACAATCTACCTAGGAGTGTCGACACGATCTGTAACACTGAGCGATAGCTTAGAAACCACATTACCTACCCTCAACTATTCGATACTTCATTCTGCACCACTTGATTTCATCGATCCGCTCATCCTCAGTTTGTTTCCACATTTTCTTTCCAAATATCGTTCTAGTGGAGACTTCTTCAGTCTCAAAAAGTGAGTTAGTGTTTAGTTTCATCATCTTTTATTACCTACCTAGGTACTTATAGATAGGTCACTTGGCTCACTTCCGCTGTTCTCCAAATCCTCCGCTTCTCTATCCCGGTAGAAATCAGCTCAGCAGAGCGGAAACTTTCACCGGAATTTTCTGAATCCGTCGGTTCTTTCGAATGTGTAGCAGGAATTAAGGATAAAAAGAAGTTGGATAATTACCAGTTTTTCTCCTAATTCTTTTTCTTTCTTCGTCTTTAGCTAGCTAGCGCGGTGAGGATAATATTTTGCATCTTCAGAGATGCGAGATGTAAGACTACTTTAGGATTTTGACCTTCTTGCTGGTTGTAGACGCGTGTATATGTTTGGGTTTCTAGAGAGTGGTGTTGTTTTGCAGATGAAGTTGAAGTATCTTCTCGTGGAATTTCAGTGGGGATTCGCATTTTGAGGAGATTCTATGGATGCATTGGTAGAGTTCTCTATTGAGATAATCTCGGAGTCTTGATATCTTGTGCGAGTTTTTCGATGGATGGATTATCCATCTTAGTAAGTGATTATTATATTAGGAGCGCCGATCTTTTGCAATCAAGTTAATTGCACAGGGAGATCCCTCACCGTGAGAGCTTCTGATGATTAGCCTTTGAAATCTGGTCTGGAAGGCTAGGAGATCCGCATGAGAAGTCGATGGGGTCATCATCTGGGTCTTGGGAGATGTGAAGTAGGATCCGCAGACCGAGAAACCTTCTTCACCTCAGTCTGCAGATTTCGCGAGCGAAGCGACGGTTTTCGGGGGTTTTCGGGGGTTTTCTCGTACGTACATGTGTATCTGTAGATGGGCTTAAGAACCCCCGCATAATTCAAGGCGAGGACGCGATTCTCGATTTTTTGTGCTGTGTGTTTCGGCTCATCGGTTGGCTCGGATGATGCTCAAAAACTCGGTTTCTTTTTCTCGGGGAGGGAGGGGGGTATATATGCTTCGGGACTTGCGGCTACCGGGACCTCAGGTTGAGTATTGGGGTGAGGTTCTTCCTCAAACAGAAGCTCAAACAGAAGCTTGAAAAAAATGTGATTAGCCCAAATATCTTTATATTCTCCATCTTACACCATGGAAACTCCAACCCGTCTGAATATTCCGAGAATCATTCTTATAATACCCGATTTCAATATAGTGAGAAGATCTATAACCTCCTCGGCCATTCATGGTTCCCCATCTTGCAAATTCGCATCCGAAATCAAGCAATTATATGAGCAGACTCTCCATTTCCTTCTCCAGGCGCTATTCTGCATACCATCTCCCCCAAATCCTTCTATTCTCTCCTAGCGTATTCTCAAATCTCCATCTAAAACCCAAATAGACAGCGAGGTTTCCTGTAACAAGTTACACATGTGATTAGCGTATAAAATTCTCGGATCACATTCGCAACCTCCTTCACACCATTTCGAAGCAGCTTCCGCAACTAAATTCTGGGTACCTTTTGCATGGAGATTCTAACGAAATCGCACGCTTGAACTGGGGAAATGCTTGGTATTATTATTTTACAGGCCAGTAAATTCGAGAGACAAGGTTCTCGTATTGTCATCTTGGTGTGTTTCAATGTTTCAAGGGAGATGCAATGCTTGTTCCTGACATATCGTTGAGTTTTGAGATAGTTTTGATTCTAGAGTTGGACGGTTTTTTCGCGCGCGCTGAGTTTTGGAGAACTCGTGGTGTGTATCTTACTGGGTACCTAGACAATCTAACTTTTGATTACTTAGTATCTAGACGCCTCCCAGCAGATTGTATGGAAGCTTGAGCATACATATTCGTGGTAGATTTTAAAGATCTTTTATTGTGGATGATGATCAAAAACTACATTTGATTTGTTGATGAAAGCTTGGGTTTCCCGTCTGTGGGTTTGCAAAAAGATTGTTCCGTGAGAAATGGGGTTACTTAGGTATCGAGGGTAGGTACTGAAAGTATGATGGTGGTTCTCAGGCAGTGAAGCGAATTTCGTATTTATACAGCTGCCGCTAGATTTCCGCTTTATCTTGCTGTATGAGTACGAGCGAGACTTGGAATAGTCAACCTGACTTCACATTGCTTTCATCTTTTTCTTTTCTTTTTTTCTGCTCTTGTGTGAAGGAGAAGAAAGTTGAGAGAGATACGAAAATTTTGAAGCATTCTGAACATACTGCACTAAGGTCCATTTTCTTTTATCTTGTTCAGGAGAGTTATTTCTAGATACTATTTGCGTCTTTCGCGGACTGCACTCCACTCTATCCATCTTTTTAGATATTAACAGCTTTTCCCTTCCGAGACCCACCGAATGTTGTATTAAAGTTTTACTCCTGTAAGTAGTTCATCTTCCCCTCCATTTCGTCCAAACTAGGCTTATATACAAGCATCCGCTCAGCTAACTCCTTTATCTAATACTGCCCTTTCTGACCTATAATTTACATACAAGCATCGTTTTTGTATACCGAAATGGCCACGATCCAAATATCATCAGCTTAATTCATTCCAATACTTATCGAGCAATATCTTGCCTTACATCCTTCTGATTCTTTGTCTGAAGATCTTGTCGATCGAAAGGTAGACTTTTGTGGAGAGCATATTGTATAGGTATCTAAATTGAAAAGTAGAGTCCTGCTACTCAGCTGCTGCTGGATCTCGCTTGAGGAACCTAGATATCTTATCCACAACTCTGTAGATTTCTGAGAAGTGTATGGCCGCTGCAAACGATCTGGTCTTTGGTTTTATTGTTATTGATGCGGTGACAGTCCTCTTGCCTGGTTTATGTTGATTTTGTCGGATTCTTTTGGGTGGACGAATTTTAATTGATTGAGGAAAGGCGAAAAGGGATTTGTCAGTAGATCATCTTTCAGCGCATTGGTATTGACATACTCGATTTCTCTGCGCTTGAACGTTATGATACTTTGCGGTATCACTTTACCCCAAGTAAACCGTGGTGATCGTTCTATCGGACATTAAAATCTTGAAGTCAGATCTAATCTTGATGAGTGATTGAGTGAATTATAGATGACGAGGCTAAATTTATGAGCCTGGTATCCTTGCAAATATTCCTTACAGCTGTCTATTAATTCACCAATAGAATATAGAAAAGCGAGAGTTATTAATAGAAAAATAAAGCCGATTAGACTTATTTCACAAATCTGTCACCTAGCTTCGCGCACTCGAAAGAGCCCATAACACCTTCTTAATATCCGCAAAGCCATCTTTGTCAACATTCACGACAGACAAAATTCACAATGTCTTCGCCCGAGAAAGTCATGGCTTCTCTAGCTGGCAAGGTCAACCAACTTCGTGGACTCTACGGTTTCGAGACAGTCAAATATTTCACATCTCCGACTTGCGAAGATGTTTTTCTAAATTTGACCAACCAGGAAGGTAGTGATTGCGGTGTTACCGCAAACATGGGATTGAAAGATGGTTGTTTCGGAATCAGGGGCTGTCCAGTATTCAAAAATCGAGTTGACCTGCTTGGGAGACGGGAATCGAAAGCTGATCTGTTTTCTCAAGTCATCAAATGGTTTCAGGTATGTCGAGGAAGAAGCTAGACAAGTACCGGGAGATTGTCATCTTATGCTGACGGACAACCTTTAGGACAATAGCGCGAAGCTACCCATGAGTTATAAAGAGGAAAAACTTTATATTAGTCTAAAGGCGAAGATTCAATGCTCGGGAGATCAAGACCAGAAATTTGCGGACGAATATGAGACTTTCATGATCAACGAAGCTAAAATCCGCGGTCATCTTGTATCAAAGGATCGAGTCGGGGTCGTTGTTTCTGGAACCACATCAAACTCTGGTCTCCCTAATGATATAGCACAGTTAATTTCACTACTCCTAGTATTTTGTTTCTATTGCTATGTTTTTCAAGGCTAACACGTCGCTCAAACTTTTTACAGCTCCGTATCACCGACAACAATACTGGCCGCGGAATAAAGAGGGCTAGAGAGGAAGACACGGATATGCCTGACGGCGATGTGGAAGTGCGACGAAAATTAAGCAAACAAGGAAGAAAGAGAGCAGCAAGAAGAGCGAACATATTGGAGATCGTGGCAGGTTCCCAAGATCAGTCCACGCAAAGATCCTCGTGAGGTTCGTCACTAAGGTTTCCCTCGGCGTAGTTTTGCTGTCAGCTGGGGATAATCAATATTGTTTCAGTCTCTGGCTGTTACTGCGATAAGGATTGATAATTTCATAATTAAACTGGTGTTTCAACGATCATTAGTTCTGTTGAAATAGTTATAGACTTTGCAAGTTCGAGGTTGAGCAGCGGGCAGCTGGGGTTATCATATTTGTAGCATATACTTCAGAATTCTATCAGATCCCTTTATTGACCATTACGTGACTTCAATTATATTAGATCCAGGTACTTTTATCACACATACAAGCCCGTCCTCTTCATTAATCTTATCTCTGTGGTGTCCTCCAAGAATTTGGACATTTCCCCTTTCATACTTCGGATAATATCACAATCCGGAGTTTACCCGTGATTTCGTGCACTCGAATGGTTCTCATATTCCATGCAAATATATCCTATGAACAAACGTTTATTAATGTTGCTAATTCAGGACTTGGGGTACAGATTTCGTTCTCATCTCTGGATACTATTTTCGGGAACACTGTGAATGTTGACGGCATAAAAACACTGAGATTATGCTGAGCTTGTTTCATTTTATCACTTGGCCCAGGTGACTTGGGCACCGAAAGAGCTTGGAAGACGAAATGACCCTGTTGAATCACAAGGTAGTTTTTGTCACGACACGGGAATTAATCTACGAGAGCATGCACAGCTATCTTTCACGTGGGTTATGGAATAGCAGTTAAAGTTTGTGGTTAGCTAGTATTGATATTCCTGTGATCCTAACAAAAGTATTTTAACCGAGTAGACTATGAGATCCCTTCAATCAACGATGATGGTTAATATCTTGACTGATTTCAACTACGCCAACCCTTCCCCTCAGACCAAACATCAATCTGTTCACTGAATTTCTTCAGATTCCGCTACATAGCGCCAGAAACCAGTAACTGTAGCCCCAGACTTCTCCCAAAGTTGAGCTTCGGCTATGAGTATGTTCCTATACATAACCACCAGTAGTGTAGGCTTGTTTATTCGCTTATTACAAGAGATCCTTGGCTTCCATATCCTGCATGTCTATGTTAGTACAATGTTATACCTCAAGCTTTAGCTAAGTCTGTGGGTTGGGAAAGCTTACCTTGAACCATTGAACAAGCTTGAGGCGAGCATTGACAATTGCATCGTTTTGTCTATAGAAGGCGCCATTTTCATCGCTTCTAAATTCAGGACAGTCTTCAAAGATAGAGAGGCTGCCGTGGACACTCATGATGGCGGTATAGATATTTCGATCGGAGTAATGGATAGTATCCGGACCATCAGTGAGCTTGAGAGAAATAGTGAGTCTGTATTGGGAGCGATAGTAGTCTTCTTCTCTGAGCAAGTTGTCGTAAAAGATTGGGCACATCATATTTGCGGTTGTGTGTGATGAAAATTGTTTGAAGGTTTGAAGTACTGATTTGGTGGAGAGGTAATTTGTTTGATGACTTTGGATTCTCGATGTCTTTGGAAGCTGGATGGAGAAGTAAACTGGAAGATACAAGATTTAGAAGCTGTTGGAGAGCAGCAGTGTTGGGTGCTTAAGTACTCAGTAGAGGGAGCTTTCAAACTGATGAAAACCACACCAGCGCCGTATATACAAGCAAACCGTACCAGATTACAAAGATTGACAGAAGTACGGTCAAATGAGATGAGCATGAATCATCTTGGTGCGGTATGACCGTACCAAAAATATGATGGACACGGAATCGCGCTTTCGCTGATTCACGCTTCAACATTTTTCATTTTGACCAAAGTCAAAGAAAGGACATTCACATCATGAGATATGTTCGAACTGTCGATGTAAATGCCCTCATCTTTTTTGCAATGTTGGGTAAATGAATCACCACATGAGATACACATCAAACTCTGATTGTGTTAGTGGCACAGAAGAACTACTTGAATTAGCCAATATGTCTCATTCATATAATCGGATTAGGATATACTTAGGTGTCATCGCCGCTGTATGCCTCAAGACTTTCTTGCTAGACCCCTCACGGAATATGTACTCATTTAAATCATGCAGCAATTATAATCAATTTGGGAACTACCCTTTGGCTTTGTTTCGAAATTTAAATCGGGTTCCGTGTTTATATACTATTTATATTGGGCATTATAGTGAACTTCTGTTGTGCTACTCGACGTTAGATTCGTCAAATTGCGGGGTAATTAAAATGGGGCAAGGTTTTAAGCGAGTGTGGACGAGACGAGAACAACGACATCGGTCAGCGAAAAAGTCTTCATCGGGCGTTGCCCACCAAAGAATAACATATCAAATGAAACAATCAATATTGTATTTTATTTCTATTCTAAAGAAGTACTTACGGCGAACAAGCTCATATGTGTAGAGCATCTGGTCCAGCATTTTACCATGCGAACAGGAATGTTCCTCGACGTTGTATGAAGATAGATTCAAGCAAACTTGTTTATTAATAATACATATATCAAAATTAATCGACATTTATAAAATAGTATAACGCAACAGTTTAGTACCTTACATCACCCAAGACTATCGACCCGTTTGGAGAAAGCGAATTTCCTTGGTTTGATTGTGTTGTGCTTTCATTTCAAGATGCATACCCTCTTTCCCTTGCAATGTTCAGTTTGTTTAGCTTGCTTTTCAAGCTGTGCTTCTATATTTCTTTTTATATTAACTTGTTGTAGATCTTGTGATTTCCAGTTCTCGTCTCATAATTTCTACATTTGTTGCCCTTCTCCCTTGATTCTTACATACTTACCCATAGATACCACTACCTTGGTATTCAATGATTGCGTCAAGAATATCAGAGAGTTCATCTCGCTGGCTTCTCATATTCTCAATCTGCCTCACATAGTCGCTAATACAGATCCCTTGCTGAGAGCAAACCAGTAAAACTATTCCACAGATTTCTGACAGTCATGTAGAGAAAGATGGACGATCGTACAAGAACGTATTGAAGATATCTGGGTCGATTGGTCCTTTAACCGTGTCAGGCCATTTGATTACAAATCAATGATAATGACCGTAGTCTTTATTTTATCTATGACACCGTAGCATCTAATTTGCACATTGTGCCTCCGGTTGCTTACGGAACCATCAAGAAGTAACATTCACGGGAGATGTATAACTTTTAGTGGATCTAAAGAAAATAGACTGCTGCCGCTCTTCTACCCTAGCTGTACTAAAATCCACAGAAGTACAGTCATATTAATTGAGCGTGATGATTCGATTAGCCCTACAATGACCGTATCAATATTACTCTTGGAGGTTAGCTCTTATAATAAGAAGGAATAATATTATTATAAGGATAGTGGAAGATCTAGTCAGTTTTAGCTTGAGGGATAAATCGAATATATAGAATAAGAGTTGAATTGAAGTCAATTTAGAAGAGCTAGGCTGAGTTGAGATGAAATTGCTTGCTTTTTTCTAGAATTCCTTTAAAGAATATTCTAGATTTATATAGTTTATAATGAAATTCCAGTATATTCCATGCTTATAAATAAGATCGATTTAAATCGTATCTTATAGAATCACTTTAGATAAAAAGAAAGTACAACCAATCAATTTAGCGAGGTTTCCTGTATACTTCCATCTAATTCCATTTCATTCTATTCCATTATAAATCAATTTGATAAGAGATACTATTATACAACTATATAATAATATGATTTTATAATATAAGATCATATCATATATGTATTAGTCATCAATATATCCCTTATTTGATAAGATATTAGTAAGTGATTTAATGAACTTATTATAAATCCTTATACACCCCTTTAATAGGTATACTAAATCAATCTTATTTATCTTAATTCAGATTAATCTGATTCATGAATTCGATCAATTTGATTCGAACTAATGGTTTAGTAAGTCTATCAGCTTTCTACTCATTAGTGGATATATAAATTAGGTCTAAATCCTCTGATTTAATAATATCCCTAATATAGTAAAATCTGATTGCTATATACTTGCTTCTTTTGTGGAATATAGGGTTTTTAGTAAGCACTAGCGTGGCCTGATTGTTTGTATATAAAGGGAATTTATTCTGCTTATATAGATTAAGCTTTAATAGTAGTTTTTTAATATAAATAATCTCTTTATATTGGTTTGAGAGAAATACGAAAGACATGGTTCCCACTATATGTAAGCCCCTAAATATCTATTTGTATTCAATCTAAAAAACTAGCTAAATAAGGGAAATAGTAAACTTTATATAAACACTACTAAAAAAGCTAATCTCCTTCACTTTTGCCTAATACCCTTAATATAATTATCATTGTATTAAAATAAATCCTTTAAAATGAATTCCCTTAAATGAATTTCTTTATTTATATACTCGAAACTCTCTTTTATAACTTCAAATACAATAACTGAAAAGAAATTTGTGAAATTATAAATATCCTCCATCTACTGGTTAAAGTCCCTAATCTTTTATCAACAAAACTAATTCCTTCCTTCCCTTAATCCTATTTTATCCATTTTATTGCCTTAATATCAATCTTATTTGTATTAATCAAAAGAATTATTAATATCCTTATATCTGTTATTATTTCTATAGATTTTAAAGAGATCAATAAGGTAATAACTCTGATTGTGTTAATTATCTTCCTAGTGGTTGGGACAATCAAAATGATTTCTATTTCCATCATCTCTATTATCATCTCTATCACCACCTCTACCACCACCTCTACTATCACCTCTATTGCTTCTACTACCTCAACTACTATTCCAATTATTATTATCATTATCATTATCTGAGCCATCATCATTGTTAGGTAATCCTATAAAAACATCGATTAATAAAACCCTAGAATCTGATAAAGGTGTATTTCGTGTATCCCCAGATTAGAATGGAGATTGGAATAAAGCTAATCCTCCTATTATATCACCTACAATTTTACTAGATTTTAATAAAGTTAATTAATCAACCATATCACCATCCTGAAATTCGGGAAATCTAGCTTGTAATCTCGAATCGAATTTGATAAAGAGATGAGCCTATTTTGTTGATATAAATAATTATATTTTATTAGATTAATATTCCAGAAGTTAATTTATAATCCAATTGTAATATTTGTTATAATTAAATATTTTTATAAAAGTGTTCTTGATATTTGTATTGATATTAATGTAAATTCTATAACATTATAAAACTGTATAAAAATTATATAATATCAGCTTATCAATATTCCTTAATATGCTTTTACAAATACAATCGAAATCGGATATGATTGTATTCTGAAAAAGTGTATTGGTAATCCCTATATTCGAGTATATAGTTATTTTAAAAAGAAAATATTCATCAATTTGATACTCTATTCCTAACCTGAATATATATCCTTTGTAGAATTATCTAACTTTATTGAAATTTTTTGGAAAAGAATAATCCTAAGGTTCTCCTTTAAATCCTAGTTTTTTTATAGTTTCCTAAGCTTTTTTTTCTTTAATTGCTTTATCAAAAGAAATATAAGGATTAGAGAAAACAATAAGATAAGGATAAGGAAAAGCACTAATCAGATCCAGATTTCTGTAAAAGGAAGTATTGAAACCTATTTGTAGAAAATTAATACTATCAATCATTATATCGATATATCCTCCTATACCAGTAAATTGATCGAATAAAACCGGTTTCTTACTAGTATCGGATTTCTTATTAATATCAGGTTTCTTATCAATTTACCTAAAATTAATACTAACACTTACCCAGAATATTATAATACTAATAATGGAAAGTAAAAGAAGTAAAAGTGAAAAGGTATTTCGAATAAGTAAGTTAAGTAATTTGTAATATTACTAATTAATATTAATTTGAGAGAGATATGGAAAATATAGTTCCTACTATATATAAACCCCTAAATATCTATTTATATTCAATCTAAAGAGCTAGCTAAATAAGGGAAATAATAGGCCTTATATAAGCACTACTGAAAAAACTAATCTCCTTCGCTTTCGCCTAATACCCTTAATACAATTGTCATTATATTGAAGTGAATCCTTTGAAATGAATTCCCTTGAATGAATTCTCTTGTTCATACACTTTAACAACTAGATTTATAATAATAAATTCAGATTCGACTGTAGAAAGGGCTATTACTAACTATAGTTTAGATTTCTAATTAATAGATTTATTTTCTAATATAAATATGTATTCGCTAATGGATTTATATGTATTAATCTCTCCTCTATAATCAGTATTGTAGAATTCTTGAATATAAGGATTTTTAATTTTATTATAATTTATATCTTTATTTATAATTCCTTTTAAGTATCTCAGTATTCTTTTAATAACTTAAATATATTCTATATTAGGATTGAACGAGAAACTAGCTAATTTAGATATAGAAAATACTATATCTAGTCTAATTCCGAAAGCTAAATATAATAAGGAG